AAACTAGTCGTGTGGCAAAATATGTTTTTTACTAAAACAACCACGTCCAAATTAATTTTGGAACCACTAAAGGGAAAGTAAGTAAAATTTGCCTTTTCATGGCCTTAACACATCATTTCGGTCGAACTTCCATTACTGTAACTCCCGTAAGTTAGACATCGAACACTATTGAAACAATTCAACGCATACAAGTATTGCGTATTTACAGCTCAAAATCCATGATTTTGGTGTGCGGCGGCAGCGCTCGCAAAACCGCTCTGGTCCCACGCGGTGCAAAACCCAAAACGCGCGATGTTGTCAACGTGTTAAAAAAGGAACAGCTAGGGCGACTTATGGAAAATCGCTTACGCGGAAGTACGCCAAATTGCGAACTCTTGAGAAGGAAAATATCACAGTCGAATTCCGCCATGTATCCACCTTTGATAACCCGGCAGATGCGGGCATGCGTGAACTGACAAAACATCAGTTAGAGTCACATTTGGCCAGTCATATTTGGTAGACAGGCCCAGATTCTCCTTCACCCATAGAGCAAATCGATCGCCCAACTTCAACCGCACTCAACATAGACAACTCTTACGAGGACTAAATATCTCTGCAGCCATCAGTATCACGCAAAATAAATCACCGGAAACACCTATCATAGACTGCTCTCGCTTTAGTTCATTTACCGTGTCTGCGGAACGCGAAACACGAACTCCACGGTTAACTGGGTCTTATCGATGAACTTCTAAAGCTCTTCCCACGAGTTGACGAGTTTAAGATCTAGCGATAGCTCTTCCCCAGATACACTTATCGAAAAACCGAATTTGGCCTATTTCCTGATACAACTGAACAGTGCCGAAGGACAATGAAACGAATGGGCACGCTTATCCTCATTCTGCACATTTTCAAGAAGTTGATAATCCTAACCAAATCCTTAAAATCTCTTATTCTCTTTCAAGATTCGGATTCGCCTGGAACTTAAGAGGCGTCTTGGTATTCTTACGCTATCCACCACACAACAGGAAAACACTCCCATTACTCTACACCCAATTACAAGTTTAGCAAACTCAGATAAGCGAAGCTCATGGTCCCTTATCATCAACCAGGAATCGAACGCAACGATGGCCACCGTACGCACAGAGTATTGGATCCCGGAAATTACGCCAACAGGCTCGGAGATTGGTCCTCAAATGCGTAAAGTGTGGACACTTTAACGCTTTGCCGTACCCGTATCCGGACTCGACCGACCTACCACAACGAAGAGTAATCCGTAGCCGTCCATTTCAGAATATTGGACTCGATTTTTTCGTTCTTTCCAAAGTTATGAAGGACGGAAATGAAACCAATCGGTGCGGATGCATCTCTACAAGCACTATCACGTCTCATGCACTCAGAGCTAAGGTTTTTAATTTTTTTCTAAAAGCATGACACGGACTTCACAACGCTCTCAGACGAAATTTAAAGTGTCCATAGTGATCGTCGACCACCAGATTGCGATAACGCTGCCCACTTTCTTGTACTCATTGAGAGAATCGTCGCGATGAAACGGAGACTAAACGCTACATCCTGACGCAAAAACAATGCTGGCAAACTCACGAGAATCCAGTGGAAACGTATTACACCATATGCGCCATGGCAAGGCGGTTTTTACGAACGCTTGATTAAATCAGTAAAACACGCTCTCTACAAAGCCCTTAGAGGCTCATCATGTCGCTCCACAGATCACCTACGTACGTTCCTAACGGAAATTGAATCATGCCTTAACTCTAGACCATTAACATACTAAGAATTATTAATACTATGAAGTATTTACATCTATTCGACCAATAGAGCTTATTCAAAGAGATCTGGAGCCAACTCTTCCTCTAGAAAACGCTATTCTGACCAAAAATGAGGACTCGAACTTATCATCCTAACGACGAAGAAAGGGCCTTTCATACAAGGAGAGAAGTGCTGGACGCTCTTCAGTCATCGTGCCAGGCTACAGAGAAATTTTGGAAGATTTGGCATGAGCAGTACTTAACCAGTTTACGAGAAACGCACACTGCAAACGTAACCAACAAGCGCCACGGACTCCACCATGTGGCGACATAGTCCTAGTAAGCGATCCTGTGCTCCCTCGAAACGAATGGAGACTGGCTCGAATCATAGACACACGCAAAGGGACTGATGGCAATATACGAGAAGCAGAACTTATCACATCCACCAAAAAATCTACCGCATCCATCTACCGGTTGGTTAATCTTCTAATCCCCTTAGAAATTCAAGAGAACAAGGACCAACCATCGTCACAACAATACCGACCCAAGACACAATCCTCTACTACTTCCGAACGAAATCAGCACTACAACTTACGTCCACGCCCAACCACACGACCACTCAGCAGAAGGTGACGACAGTCAGTGTCAACACGACGAGAAGATGGTTTCTTTTCCATCTCATGCTTTTTTCTCTTATGATGCTTGGCAGTACGACATTTCCTACAGAAGTCCCGCTCACCCGCTTCAAGTGAATCCGCGCGGGATTATGCAGAGAAACGGTAAGAGATGCTTCCAAGGAAGAAATAGCAGCAGTATTAGATGAACCAGCGAAGTCAGGGAGAAGCAATGTACGCTTTGCTAGCTACAAGAGCAAGATGACCTGCAGATGGGTCAGACCTTCTTTCATAGTCCAGAATGTTATCGAATATCTGAAATCAGTATTCACACTGAAGTACGACGGTCAGGTAAGGCATCAAAACAGGATAGGTATTTCAACGAGAGAATAGGTAATATCTCGGATTCTTTGGAAGCCTTGCAAATCCTATATCATAGATATTTCAGAGACAAACATTTGAGACAAACATTTGGCCAAGAAACAGAAGCCTCGCCATTCTAAGGTAGATGGGTCACATACATCACCTAGTTTCCGCATCGTGAATGCAAGTTGAATATCCATTCATGCACAAAATGAATTTAATATCCGTTTTAGAGGATTTCGAAGCAGCTATGGAAATTCCTCACATGGGTGCCAATCTCCGAACGATTTAATTTGACTTTTTTTTATCATCAGTCCACGATCTCATCAAACATCTGAGATCAGTCAAATAAATTAATAATTTTCCATTATTCTTCAGCATAATCGTGAAGGGAACCGAAGCGAACCCCGCCAACAAGCAGGACAAACGCTAATGAATAAGAAGAAAAATCGTGAGGGGGGACCGTTGTTGCGTCCAAGGATGAGGATGTAGAGATAATCGTTGATACGCCCAAGGGTGGGTTGTTAATATCAGGGACTGAGTCAAAGATATTGCAAGATGCGGCTTCGAACACTGTTCCTCGAAGCTTCACGTTTAATAATCTTGACAGCAATTCATATTGCACACATGTCTTCTGCTATTATGATAAATTAACGAAAACGAAGAGAGATGGCCCCAGCTGCGTTAATCTGTCATATCACAGCAGCCGGAATTCGGCCGGCGAATTTTAGACGGAAAACATCCAGGTTCAAAAAGCTTTAGCCTGTTGCATTTTTGATCCCGCACCCCATTCGTACTATTCGTATTACTAGCCAAATGTTGAGAAGGCTGTTACTGCAGTAGTAGGCGTAAAATAGTCTGTGGTTTATGATCACATCAGTAGGCTGAGAAGTCCAGGAAGTTCTATAAGGGGTGCCGCAAAAATCGCACTTCCATCAGTCCTTCAACCCCTTCATTCAATGAAACAACTCTTCATCGTTCGGATGGTGGTGAACATGTAGAACGGATTCTTCGCAACAACAGACGAACCTTGGCTAAGTTCGATCACGACTAGGGTCAACAAAAATGGCAATCGCTAAGCCTGAGTATACGTTTCTTATGATTTTACAAAGAGCACCCTTCCCTTATAAAAGAATTTTAATTACCCTATAATTGTTAACGATGACATGAAAAAAAATTCTGAATAGAAGGCGGCCGCAAATGTCCGAGGACTTACGAATAAGCCTAATATGCAATTGGTTAAGGGATCCTGAGGAAAAATCGAAGTTTCTATTTGATGAATGTGGATGGGCGGTGTTCCAGCTCATCCGAAGTTTTCTTGAGCAGTTTCTCCAGCTCCTCAGAATTCCAAACAGCAGGTTCTCGTTTCCAGCACAAGAACCATCACATAGCTTTGCTTGTATCAACCTAGCCTATCTTTCGCTTTGTGCGAGACCAAAATTGGCTCGTGATTAGCGTAGGCCTCGGCTTAGTATGGATGAGCTCAACTGCAGGCATCTTCTTCGAAATCTCCAAAACGATCGAGAAGTAACGCTTGTGTCAAAATCAAAGCAGCATCACTTGCACCGCTTCTCTCTTGCTGCTTGGCCTGTACAGTCATGGCGACTTTCCATGCTTATACGCCCTCGCCTTGATATGCGAAGTGAAGATCTCCCTTAGCTGAACGCAATTGTATCGCATTTCTGCCGCCAGGCGATGAATTCAGCGCACTGGGCCCCAGCGCTCCTTTGCCCATTCCCTGTTAACATCGCTTACAGATAACCACAGTAGCTTTTCTCTCACGTCCAGATTGATCGTCCTAGTACCTAGCTTAATGAGTATTGTGATGGTAGGCAAGAGATTTCGGGACACTCGAGCCTTATTGCCATGCAACACCATCGAACAAGTTGACAATATGTCCGACTGCTTGTTTCGTGAAGAGGTAAAGGTTGACAAGTAGGA